TTGCACATGCCTCCTGATTTAAAGGTCAATGCAAAATAATGATTGAAAAAAACTGAAAATGTCATTCATTCACAGCTCGTTATTTGGTATGATTGTCCAGGAACCTAACATCACCTGATAACAGGCCAGATCGTACCATTATATGCAGTTTGCTATTATCCAATGAGTGATAGTCATTCTGTGTATGGACAACACCGTGTTATTATAATGAAGCAGTGTTATCCATAATACAGGGTCACTGTTATCAGCGCTTGTAAACATTAGTCTGGAACCGAGTGCTTATAGATGGGGTTCCATGCATGCCCACTTTTAATTTACATGTACCGGTATTATGTTTACTAATTACTGGGTGGCCATTTTCTTTTTTGCAAATTTTGTATTTTCAAATATTGCATTCAGACTATTGTAATAAAATGACTGACTGAACATAATTTAAGTTTTTCGATCATTTCTGATATTCATACAGAGACTTGGCGACACAACAAGGTTGGCTGATATCAACTATGATAAGCTGGACGTTGAAAGTAAAAGACTTGAAGCGCACACTAAGAAAGCCTGTAACTGGTGGGTGTGGATCATGATGGCTATCGTCTGTCTCACTTTTGTATGGATGATAATGTTTATCAGAATGTTCCCAAAGAGATCATAGCAGAGTGTTTCCATAGAAAATGTATTGACTAAGGATGACTTTCCATTATCATGGCTACAAGAAACCAGTTGAATTGGTTTTAGATGCTGTTGTCATAGCAGCATGTTCATTTCTGTTGCACAGGAATTTTACATAACTGCACCCTTCAAATTAAAAGTATGTTCCATTCAGGAAATAACTGTGATACACACTGCAGGTGTTCCACACAGCCTGGAAATAATTTGAACTAAACAACTATGCTAGTGATTATACATGAAAATACACTAAATACTAGAATCTATTATGTACCAAAGACTTAATTGTTTTACATATTTTGCTTAAATTTTTTCCTGGAGATGATTTTCAAGTGTTGTTGTACAATAAGCCTAGAATCAATACACTTTCTAACGTCTCCTCAACAATTAACAACAAGGCTCAAAAAACACAGTCAAGGTCAGCTACTATAAAACCTTAAATTTGATTCGTTGATTGAAAATGCAGTCATCATAGGCATTGCTACTAAGTCATCTGCAGATAGCATGCTTATAAGGAATTCCTTGTATTCTGTAACAGTATTTAAACTGGCTCGTGGTTCAAATTTGACTGACCCATAGTACCAGTATGTGACATTTGTATGACTGATAAAAACTAAACCATTCTTATTATGCATTGATTTTAAATAACAGGAGAATGTGGAAAGAGCATAGATTCTAAATTATGATACAAGTACCGATAATTAGTGTAAGAAATATGAGAATGACTTCATTTAATACTTGGATTGATTTATATCTATGTGCCAATATTTAAACAAAACAATATATATAATTACTGTAATTTATAATTGTTAAATTTCCTTTTGGCCTTTCAAACAATAGAATCCAGCCAGCTCTGTCTGAGAATATTCCTATTACATATCACGGATGAAAGCAGCCAACAATTTAACAGAACTTGTATAGTATCGAGATAACCCCCTTGACTGTGAACAAAATGTGATTGTAATTTTTATGTTTGTTGAATAACCTAAAATACATTTTTTAATTTTCATCTTTTCATGTGTACCCATAGCCTCGCTTAATTTATCTGTGCTATTTCAGAATATTTTACCATGAGAATATTTTAGAAATACAAAATATCACTCACCTTTGACGTCATTATCACAGCTTTTGAGCCAAGTTTGCTTGTCCCTTACTAATACTGTGAGTGCGAAAACTATGATTGGGTATTCTCTTTTTTCAATCAACAAACCTGTTATTTTGCAAGCCTATCTCATTTTGTGATTGCATAAATCTAGTAAAACATTAATATATGTAAGTCATGATATTTTGGACAGAAAAAAGTTTTTTTTGGAGGATAGGAAAACAGGGTCAAGTGAAAATGACCTTCATTATTGATTTCTTATATTTTCTTATGTATTTAAAAATTCAAGATTGTACATTTTTTATTTATTGTCTAATATTTGGGGCAAATTTTTTTTTTTCTGTTTAAACAAGAGAAGTACATGTTATATTCGATTAGCTTCAGTGTTACTTCGTTTCCTGGCAACTACAAATTTGAATTCCCTGAAGAAATGAAGTGTTTACTTTTTCAGTGAAAATGTATTATGCAAACAGGGAGAAGGGGTAATAATAATGTTTTGGTATGATGGATTTATACACTACTAGTATTATGTCTAGCAGTGTGTCCTTTAACATTTTGTAGGAATCCTGAGTCAAAATGAAATCCTCTAAAATCAAATTGAGTCAGCTTGTTGACTGCTTGGGAGGTTAGTTAAGAAAAAACAAAATATAATGTGACTGTATCCGAATTGAGGCACAAACAAAAATGTTGTGGCATCTGATTTTCTTTGTTTTTACACTTAATTTGTTTATAGAATGCAAATTTCTTTTTAACAAATTAAAAATTCCATAACTATAGAAAGATGTTTGTTTTTTGTGTGTTTTTTTTCGAGATCATCATTGTATGATTTGTTGTTGCGTCAATGGTGCACCAGTGAATTATCATAATATGTCAGTGGGCTCAGAGATCACACTGGTGTTCAGAATGGTTTTGTTTTTTGGGGGTCAAAGATACTGTAAGCATTATTTTCACAAGGAGAACGACAAAATTGTATACTAGTAAATATTATCCTACAAATGCCATTAAATCAATTTTTTACTGAAAAGTAGAAGGAATTTGAGCACATTATCCCCCCCCCCCCGAATGATTTTTCATATCATTGCTTGCAGTGTATGGAAACTGTTTTCCCTGCGTCATGAAACTGAAAATTAACCATTTTACAGTATACCGGGGGTACTATAAATAGGGTGTATAAAGCAACAATAACGTTCTGTGATAAAAAAAAAGTTGTTAATTGCACCAATGAATACAATTTGCCATATTTCACTTGGAGAAATGTCAACTTGGCATTGTATCTAGAAAAAATAAGCTGAAGAAACTTTCACCTTCATGGTTGAAGTGCTGGAATGAATTACCATCTTGTTTACAGCATGAACAAATTTGTGTAGAGGACAAATATTTATTGTAATAATGGTAAGAAAAAATAAAAATGCATTT